AGGGGTACATCACCCCTTACACAAGGGGTGATGTACAAGAAGCATTATTCTTATATATATTGAATAAAATGAATTTAACTTAAATACTAAAAATGTAAATCTTGTCCTTCAATTCAAGTATTGATTCAAAAATCATGTCCAAAAATCGGGTCGAGAAGTCGAGACATGAGCAGCAATGAGTGGCATGGGAGAATTTTGATAATTAGATTTTAGGTTTTTGGATTTAAGAACTAATTTTCTTTTCAATACTTTTTAGTTTATCTGGTTGGGTTGGGTTTGGTTGGGTTGAGTTGAGTTTTAATAGATAATCTGGCACCCAACCCGACCTAAAATTTGATTTCATAACTCGAATCTAACTTGATTGAACTAAAAAACCACCTTAAACTTGTTGGTTTGAGTTGGATTGATCGGTTTGATTGGTTCAGATTGATTTTTACTTAACCCTAATGTCGTGTGTCATTATATAATTTATTATGTAAATCTTAAATTAATAAACAAATCAATTAATAATCATATAAATCGAGAAAATAATAGATATAAATAAATCCACCTTTCAATTGAAAAATCTTATCCTAAAAAGGTCCTCCCAATTTCAATTTAGAAAATCCAAATTCTCCAACTGCAATAAAAAATTTAATTGAAAAATATTGAGCCTATTTGACAATGATTATAATTTAAATTTAATCAAAGTCAACAATTACTTCTAACCACATATTCCATGGATTCCACAACTTTACAATCACACATTTTATCAATTTTTATCAAATTATACTAAAAATCTAATTTTAATCTCCATTAAACAGGCTATGAACATCTAAAATCTTCGATTTGCATTTTCAAAATAATAATGTTATTTAGCATAAATAGTGTTGAACACCAATAGGGTCATAAATCTTTATATTTAATTAAATTTATCATTTAATGAAACAGGTGAAGCCACCTAAATCGATATTAAATATCATTAGCGCTCAATAATATTACTCTTTTAAAAATCACATTTATTTATTGTTACGCAAACTTATAAAATATTTTGAGGGAATTAAGCATATGTTTGTCTATCATAATTTCATTAAAAAAAAATTCTCAAACTCATTTTCAATCATAAATCCCTATGGTAAAATATTTTACGCGTAAATCTAAAAATTTATCATATTTTGTTAACGATATATTCTTAAAAAATTAATTATTTTAAAACTCATTTTTATTGAATAATGATAGACAAAAAAGGAGTTAATTGTTTTTAAAATCAATTATCAACTGCGATGGGACAAATTGATTAATTTCTTAGGTTAAAAGCGGCTTATCAACAATTTTCCAGTTTATTGAAGGCCACACAGATTCATCCCTGGTTCATTCACACAAGTACCCGCCCCTTCCTCCCTCCACGAATAATTTCATTATCCACAAACACACTATCACTGTGTGTGTAATTCTGTGGGTAAAGAATGGCGGAATCAGTGATGAAAATGTCATCGGCCGCCAACGCCAACGCTTCTTCACTCTGCAATTTCAGCGGTTCATCGAGGAGGCCGCTGCCGCCTTGCTGTCTTACTGGACGACGTCGGAAGAGTTGTACTGTTCGAAGAATTCGAGCTCTAACTTCTTCATCAATTTCTGATTTCTTTGGAAGCATGAGACTTACCTCAACCCCAAAGTTGTTGAATTTACAACACAAGCAGAGCAAAAGAAGTTTATCTGTTTTCGCCATGGCCGCTGAGGGTATATTTCTCTTTCATTTCTCTTAGTTTACATAAATGTGCATTATATTTTTATATTTGTGCTTTTTGTATCTCTATTGCTCATTTAGATGAATTTTGTTTAATGGGCTGCACTTAATTATGTTCATACAATAATGGAATTTGAATTGTTCGATTCTGTTTTATTTTCTTGTGTGCCTAAGTTTACATTTGTTTTTAAAGCTGTCTGTGTTATGATTCTCGTTGTACAATATTTTTTTATTGTACTTTCTGATTTATAAGGTGATTTTTCGGGCTGCCATTTTTAGGTATTTATCTGAGATTTCGGTGACCAGCAATGGTTTCTTTATTCTCTGTGCTTCCATGATCATTTTTATTCAACATTTCTTCATTTTTTTGTAGTTGTGGAAGTGTTCCCTTTTCTCAAAATGGATATGACAATTGAATTCTTATATTTAGTAATTTGTATAACAAAATTGTAGATTTTATTTGACGTTCTATTTAATTTCGCTAGTCCTCGATGAAATGAAACAAGATTTGCAATTGAATGATTCTCAGATAGGTTCTGCTATTTTGGAAATTATTGTACTGCTACAGAACACACTAACGACAAATGTTGTTCTTTTAAGTTCATTCATATAGAGGAAGTGATATCTGTATTGTGTGCCTCTGATATATGATTTTTGTTTTAATTTTTTGCAGAGAAGAGAGCAGTGCCATTGAAAGACTATCGTAATATTGGAATCATGGCTCATATAGATGCTGGGAAGACGACTACCACTGAGCGAATCCTATACTATACTGGTAGAAACTACAAAATCGGGGAGGTGCATGAAGGAACAGCAACAATGGACTGGATGGAGCAAGAACAAGAGAGAGGTATTACCATTACTTCTGCTGCAACTACGACGTTTTGGAATAACCATCGAATAAACATAATCGATACTCCTGGCC